CCCACAGAATCGCACTTTATAAGGCATTGTAGGAAAAAGCTGGAAACTCCTACAAAACAAACTCAGACCGTGTACAAACTAGCACTTAGCATGGCTAAGTTTCTCCTTTCAGTCAAGTTTCCTAGTTGGAGGCAGTTTTCATCACTCACAGGAGCTCGGCGATTCATTGAATCGAATTTTGATTCACAATTCCTGCCTTCAGTGAGAGCAAGGTCTTTCGCACAAACCGTTTTTTCTTGCCACATTCTTTCCCACCGCAGTGTTCCCGGTTTTGCTCTCTGTTGTGCGCGCAGCGACACCCCTTTCTCTGCGTCAGACTTTGGCTATGACGGCCCGACGTGACGGGAGAGGAAACCGAAACCGCAACATCAAACCCAGGAAGAACCAACGGTTTGTTGACTTCTAACAATGCAGTTGTCGTACTGTGCAACAGCAGAGGATCTGCACCCTCCCACGTGTGGCAACAGGGGCACGGCGTCGCAGCGCGTCGGCGTTGGGGGGCGGCCCCCCCAACCCCCCCCGGCCTGCTGCTGGGAGCTTGTGAAAAAGACAAGATAGCAATATTTGTATGCAAAGATATGTGGCCCATCTGTGTTTGTGTGTGTTGATGTGTGGGGGACTTTTGAATAATTGCACGCTTGTCTCAGCTCCGTTTGGACTAGATTTTTCGAAAACAGGGATATATACCAAGGCTGTACTTTTTTGCATAACTTGCAATGGAAACTCTCCCGAAGTTGTTTTTTAATTTCTTTTAAATGTTTCAGATATTGTCTACAAGATTTCACTTGCCTGAGTTGGTCTCAGTAATCCCGCATCCAGTAATCTGTGTTTGGTCGCAGACCAGCAGAGAGCTGGTGCTGCTGTGAGAACACTTTTGGGGCTGCTTCTGCGGCCATCCCAATGCAAAGAACTGGTTTGAGATGAACCAGCCAGGGATTGCTCTGCTAGGAAAAGGGGTCTGAGCCACTTGTATCAACTATCAGTCACACCAGTCATCTGTAAAAAGGCGCTTTTGCTTAAAAGTCTGTCACTCGATAAGTAAAAAATAAGCCGTTATATTGAAGCTCTGACACGAAAACCACTTTGTTTTTCTGTGTGCTGCTTTGCTCAGTTGCTAATCGCTGATCCAAAAGGCCAGCACGGATGAGGTCACCACAAAAAGAAAATTGAATAAACAGACATTTTTTATGCGGTCATGCGCCGAGAATAATGGTAAATGTCACAAATATGGCTTTTTTTCCCGAAATCAAACAAGACTTAATTTCATATTAAGGAAATATGCTCAAGAATCCCTCTGATGGCTCAAAACACTTTCAAGTGGCCAGCAACCAACGTGGAAACAGTCCAGTTTTTGGCTGGCGGGCCACCTCACAAGCCGAGCACTAAATCAGTGATGGTGCCACCCATTTGCTCCACTTATTCCAAATCAGTTTGTGTTCATCTTTCAGCTAAAATCCCGGCTAAGATGCGCTGTTATGCAAGAGGTTACATTTAAGGATTAGCACGTAATTTCTGTGGGCCGACATCAGGTATTTAGCGGAATTTATAGGTCATAACTCCCATGCTGGGGTTGTGTGTCACAGTTACAAACAAAAGGAAACCTGTCCATTTGTACGTGTAACATCTTTTGTGTCCTTTCGAGTTTTTAGCTGTAAGCAGATTTTCTGCTTAGTAGAAGGTTTAAAGCAGCTGAATATTTTAATCAAAAATAACTTAAGAATATTATTTGGGTTTTTGGTAATTTATTTTAGCTTTACCTGAAGTTCTAAACTATTAAGTGATACAAAGCTGGCCCCAAAAGTCAAATAGAAACCGTCGAATTAAAGGAAACCAAAACAAATTCTCTTTAGCCGTGTCATCCTTCTTAATATGGGTTGCAGACTTTAAGATTCAAATCCCATTTATCAAAAAGGAATATACTGTCAGAGTTTCGAAATGAGATTGTAAAAGATTTTTTAGGCGTCGTGTACTTTTCAAAACTGAGTCAATGCCACAGCATCTGAGTCCTTATATAGCAGGTATGAGGGACTTTTATTGCTCTCCACAAGACTGTCTCTGCTGCAAGGGATGCATGCTGTGAGAACATCCAGGGACCAGGGAGGGAGGGGATGGAGCGAAGGAGGGGTGGGGTGGGGTGGGGTGTAGAGTTCATTTTGTATTTGTTGTGTTGTTTGTGTGTCATATTCAGCAATGCATGGATGTGAATGTGTGCGAGTCTTACTGTTGCATAAGAGGATCTGCTGCTGTCCTGCAGCTTAACGGGGATTTAAAGCTCTCTTTCTCACTCTCTCCTGCCCTCTGTCTGTCTTCCTGTGTTGTCTGTCCCTCCAGTGCTCTGTGTCGCACTCTTTAATCTCTGTAATTGCGTGTATATTGTCGGTGGATTGTGTCATTACATATTGAATAAGTCTGTCAGTATGGGGATTGTGTATAAGGATATCTTATAAGATTTTCGTTTTGGGACAGCCTCCATCTTAGTTGGGACGAGTGACATCAGACTTTGATAGAACTCAGCGTTGGTTTCTGCAAATAAATCTGCTTTGACATAGTAATGACAGCGTGATGCTCCTTATGGTGATTTAATCATTTGTGCAGATGTGTTTAAAGCAAGAAAACACACAAATACTGAGCCCCCTTTCACTCGTGTGTTGCTTTCTATTTATCTGGTGGCAATTGAACAAGACACAGGCATGCATGAGTAGTCCTAACGTTTTGACACATCAGTCTCACATGATCAGACCTCGGCTTCAGCTCACAGTGTGTGAGATGAGTGACGATTCTACAGAATGGAATAAAGCACCAGGGATCTTATGATTCTGTCAACCGGTGAGCCAAATGACCACAGAGAAGGCAGTTTAAAAGTATTTATTCTGCACCTGAAGCTTCTTGTGCAGGGCTGTCCGGACTAATGTATTCCTCTACAAATGTGATTCATTTGATTTGCATATTTTATGAGAATCGAGAATATTACAGTAGTTTGACATTTAGATCACTTTTGGATTAAATGGATGAAGCAAAGACTCCCATCATTTGCTGCAGGAGACAAGAGGTTTTCTGTCTTAAAATCTACAGAAAGTGAAAACACAGTATTCATCATTAATATTTAGCTTTTTTTGTTACTACTTTATTACTATGTTTTATCTGTCCAACATCGAATGATGGAAATCAAATTGTTCCTCAATATAAAGCCCGAGAAGTGCAGACACAATACTCACGTGCCTTATATGTTTGGTGGGTTTAAACCACCTGCTTGTGTTGAAGAAAGGCTGGCAGTCAAACAAAATTTTGTCTTACGGTTAAGACAAAATGTACATTTTCTTCCTCTCAAAGCAATGTTGGTGCAGCTTTATACACCTTCAAATGATATAAGAAATAAAGACGACCTCAGATAACCATTTAGATAATGTTTTCATTCATTTTTAGGATGATATGAATAACAGAAAAGTAGTTTTTTTTACAGCAGTCCATTGTTGATGCTCTACTAAACTTCTCATGATTCTGATCTAATTATGCATCTTTGCCTCCTGTTGTTCTGGTAGCTCTTCACAATCCTTTGAATAATTAAAAAAAGAGTCAATTATCTCAATGTTGACGTCCAACAGCGGACTGGGCTCTCTGGTGAGCTAAAAGTAAAGGTTTGGAAGAGACTCCCAAGTTGTCAGCATGTAGTTCTGCAAATCTGTTGGCTGCTCACTCTTCACAGCAAACAAATGTCGTGCCAAGCAGCTGACCTGCCCTTCTATTGAGGAGGAATCTAAATAGTCTCCTAGCACTGACTGACAGCGTGTGCATTCCAGAAGGTTCCTTTCATGTTTGACTAATCTCAGTATAAGATTGATATTCTACAGACTAATTGTGATCTGTGTGTTTTCTGTGTGTGTGACTTGCTTAGCTCAACAGTTACTGGAATTTATTGTTACTAACCTTTATTTAAGAAGGAGACCCGGTTCTTAGTCAACCCATTTTAAGAAGTGGATATTTTCTTATTTTCATTTCCTTAATTTTGGGAGACAGAGCAATCCGTACTATGCGTCTGCACTTTACAAAGTGGGGCTTCGGTTATAATCAGTTGTTATCTTGCTATTTATAAATCTGCCTTGTTGAATCCCTGTCAGTGAACGCTTTTCGTAAAAACAAAAAGGCATGTCTCTAGAAGTCCTGCTTTATTTTATCAGGAGTCAGTGAAATTCCTGTGACATGACCTCAGTCAGATTATCAGAATGCTTGCAGATTTACAGACTGATTTTTTGTGCATTTATGAACAGATTGATTAGTTTCAGAGCTCAGAAACGAGGAAATTCTTTCCAACTCATTATAATTAGGCATTTCTCAGAATCAACTTAACCGCATTAAGCCTAACATTGTATTTCTGGCCATTTTCCTGCTGTGAAACTCTAACTCGGTTAAGAACAAATTTGTTCTGAGCAGCAGTGTTCCAGCTTTCTTGGAGACATTTGCCGCTTTTCGACTGACCGTTTTTTGTTTGTTTGTTTGTCAAACCATTGAATGCTAATAAATGAATGATTTAGCTGAAAATTTGATATTGGGTCATGTTTGACTTTTCATTGGACCTCATGCAAACATTATCAATACTTGCCAATGCTTTTCTGGAAATGGCTTGACTTGAACTAAATTGACTGATCAGCTGCCTTGTGAGATCTAAAAGCTCCACTGATCAAATAGCCTGATCGAGACAGGGGGAATGCTTTTTGATAAATGATGTGACTGCAAAGAAATATGAGTCCAGTTCACATATCGGTTACAGAAAACCAGGAGGCCTATAAAGATGTTCTGGAGACAGTGATGAAAAAAGGGGATGTTAATGGTGATAATGACACAAGTGGTGGTGTGGACTGTAATTCCAGCGAAGATAATGACCTCTTGTTTGTGTGCTGGTGTGTTTGTTTGCGCTGGAGGACTGCCCTCCTGCTAAACGCACTGTTCAGCTGTGTTATTTCTCACCGACTTATGCAGTTTTCCTCCATTTGTGTCTGCCACAGATTGACTTGGAGCCAGAGGGGAAGGTCTACGTGGTCATTGATCTGTCCGGATCCTCCACTGAGGGTAAGATCACTGCAACGCCATTTAACTGGTGCAAATGAGAAAAACGCGAGACAACAAACATGGCAGCCCTTAAAAAGCGCCCATGCGGACATGAAGGCCTGTACTTTCTTGACTGTGTTGGTCCAGGTGGGAAATACTGGAACAGCGTGTACACAGCTAATGGCAGCAAGGCTGGATAGGTGGAATTAATTAGAAATAATAGGCTGCAAGCATTTGAACTCAACGAGCACATTGTGAACATCATTACAGTTTTATTTAACTTATTTTGAGCTTCAGAAATCTGAGACGATACTTTTTTTTCCATTCGAAAAAAATTATTTAATGTTAGTACTCCATTTTTATCAGAAGCAATATGAAGCTAGAGCTGCCAACATGTAAGCAAACTTCTTTCTCCAGTTGACAAAGTGATAACAACGATAAATCTTGATGAAATATGTTGACAATTACAGCAGGGAATGCAGAATCTATCGCAAATAGAAAGATGTTGAAAAGCAGATCAATGTCACAACTGAGAGTAACTACAACTTCTTGGTTCAGTGTGCTTGTCTTCTCAGGAGTACTGAGAAAAACCTCAGACATCCTGTCTTTCACTCTTGCCATTTTTTTTTAAAACTTCAAAGACAGAAATAATCTCAAACCTAGAGACATTGGGGCTTTTCTGGGTTTCCATCTGCAGCCTGCTGATATGTTGCCTTATTATTGGCCTCATTCTGGCCATTTTCTTTGTCTATTTAAAACATTTTGTCACCATTCATGTAATTTTTTGGTCTCGTCTTCTCTGCTAATTTTGCATGTATTGCTTAAATAAGTCTAATCGTTACTTATCACCATATTTTTTTTAACGTATTATATACTGACTTGTTTGACTAATTTACCATCTTTTTATATCTTGTCTCTGTGTCTTCCTTGGCATTTCTTTCTTTATGGTTTCTTTTTTCTGACTTTTTATGGAGACAAGACCAAAGCCTGCCTGACTTATTGTGCCTGTGTACCCCGTTTAGTTATCGATTCATTTGAATATCTCTGAAAACAGACTTGTATGTAAATTAAGTTATAATAGATGTGTTATTAAGTCATAAAATATATAATATTTAGCCATCTGAAATGCTGTCCCGACAATTGTCCCCTTTTATGAGCTAAAAGGGCTATCAGTAAGGACTGAGTCATTGGACAAAGTTAATATTAAATCTAATCTGCTATTCCTATGTCATCTCCAACTTGTTGTTTTGCTAGAGTCTCGCTTCAAAGAACCACATCCTTACACAACCCCGTCCACCACCATATATCTGGCTAACACTGTTAGAGACTTTACTATAGACATACTAGCGGCTAAACAACAAGATATTTCCCTCAGGAGTCAGCAGAGGTCGAACAAAGCTAAAAGAGAGCAAATGTTAGACCACCATCTGCCAGGGGCTTAGACAACATGAACGCTGTTGTTTTGTAACTGATGATTCTATAAAAAATGGAGAAAAAACAAGTTTGTCGCAGGAATGATAATAAAAGGTAATGGATGATAATGCTTCCTCTCTGTCCATGGCTTGTTTCCGCTGCCCCCAAGTGGATAGATGTTACAAGCAGAACAAACAAAAATACTCGATGTGCATCTTTGCCAGGTTACTGCTTGAAACTGGAAGCCACGGGGTGCGATGGAAAGACCGAACATGAAGCCAGAGGCCTTCCTGTTTTCTTAGAAGGCTACAGAATTCCTAGATGTTTCTTTGTTGTGTGCTCTACCACCCCCACTCCCACCCCCACCCCCTCCTTTTTGTTTGCATTGATTAGCTGTGGAAACATGCAAAACAGCTCTGTTTGTTAAACCACTCTGTCAACACAGACACACATTAATTCACTCTATCTATCTATCTATCTATCTATCTATCTATCTATCTATCTATCT